ACGCCGTGTCCTTTATAACCCCAGACGAGGTTATGTTGGCCGGTGAGAGTGATTGTGTGTTGGGTTGCTTCGTGTTTGTTTCTTCATTCTTGGAAGAGACGCAGAAACAGACGCCCAGATAAAGTTGCTCTCGCCGGCACTTCCCGTAATTCAAGCCCAAATGAAAAGACTTAGTTGTGGTGTGTTGTATCAGGACTGTATCAGATCGCCGCTGGAATATAGCTCGTATCTGACACTGCTGAAGCTGTGCATAATAAATCGCACCGGTGTTGCTGATGTTTGTATGTTAATGTGTGTTAAAGAAGACCTACTACGCTTTTTGACATCTTTCTTTAGTGTGTAAAGTTGCTGTTTGAGCATGAAAAATGTCTGCAAAGTTACAAAGTCACTCCAAAGGGAGATATTCTTTATATCAGTAAACAATAGGGCTGTCAAACGATTAATCACGATTAATCGCATCCAAAATAAAAGTTTGAGTTTACATAATATATGTGTGTGTACTGTGTATAATTATTTTGTATATAAATGCACACATGTATATATTTAAGAAAAATATGTTATTTATATATAAAATGTTTATATTTTTATAAAATATACATTATATATAGGCTACATTCAGTCTATATACAGTATATACATGCAAATATTTCTTAAATACACATGCATGTGTTGGTATTTATATATTAAAAATAATTATACACAGTACACACACATATATTATGTAAACACAGACTTTTATTTTGGATGCGATTAATCGCGATTAATCGTTTGACAGCCCTAAAGTTTATTTGCAATTGTGTGTAATGTGTGTGAATCAAATCATGAAGGAAATCACTTTAGGATTAGTTTTAGGAAACGCATTTATTTTTCGGCCGGATTATACTGAAAGCTGCCAAATGAACATTTGTTTAAGGCTCTTAAAATAATCACTTATGCAAAGACAGGGCAAATTCAAGAAGACATAGAGGCCCTTTTTAAAGGTTTGAAACCTTAAACATCAGCGCATCGTGCTGGTCTTGTTTCCGAGGCCGGTGTGTCCGTGTGTTTGCTCTTGTTCAAAGCGTCTTCATGCTTTTGAGGTCAGTTGAGGAAGCCATTCTTCTCTGATGTAAACCTGTAGAGCTTTAGAAAAAGTTAGGAGGAACTGATATACTTCTACTAGTTCCAAAAATCAAATGCGATGAAGCTGTTATTCAATAAAAACATCGTGAACTTCTACTACAACACAGAAGTAAATGTGCTTGAGTGAATTTTAAATCTATTCAGTTGTTAACACCATGACCATGACGTATAGGCAAACCCATACCCAAAACTTGCATACCCACATATTTGACGGATGCAGGAAAAATGGAGGTGCAAATATCGCTCTAAGATTAAGTGTCCTGTCGAGTGCAGAACTCCTCCGTCACACAGGAAAATGCAGAAATCTCTGGACCGTTTCAACATCGTATGAATACTTCCGGCACTGGTTTTGATGTTATTGTTGTGTCACATTAAGAGTGATGCAAAAAAACGGTTTGAAATGAACGTCCAGACTGAGAAACATCTGTAAAAATCTGATTGGAGTGGCATTTCAAACCACCTCCATATGTGTCCGATTTCATGTGTTTTTCTGCTGTCTAGACGTTCAAAAACCCATCTGGGTATCTGGGTAAGTCTGAACATAGCAATGTATCATGGTTTCTAAAAAAATATGAAGCAGCAAAACTGTTTTTAACTTAATAATAATAATAATAAATGTTTCTTGAGCAGCAAATCAGCACATTATAATGATTTCTGAAGGATCATGTGACACTGAAGACTGGAGTAATGATGCTGAAAATTTAGCTTCGATCACAGGTATTTTTTAAAATATATTCACATAGAAAACAGATATTTTTTATTGTAATAATGTTTCACAATTTTACTGTAGTTTTAATCAAATAAATGCAGCCTGGCTGAGAATAAGAGACTTCTTTCAAAAACACTTATACATCTTATAAACCCTAAACTTTTGAACGGTATATAGTAAACACAAATGAAGCAAAAAGCAAGCCTGGAGGGAAAGGTAATGCAGGATTAACGGAAAAGAAAAAAAAACACTAGAAAGATGTGAACAATGCAGCACTATTGGTCTGAGTTTTGTGAAGGGGAAATAAGTGTGAGAGTCTGTAACAGCAGTTGAGAAGAGTGTAGCCGGAGGGAGAATCCTGACACCTGCGGAGTGAGAGACTGTACTGAGATCAGCTATTAGCAGTTAACACACTTTCATGCCATCATCATCACACGTGTCTGAATGTACTATTAAATACCTCTCACTATGGAAGCAGGTTGTCCAATTAAATTCACTGACCTTCTAAAATAACCTGAGATAATTGACTCCCTGGTAAGACAGATTGCGTGTTGCTGTCGTATACAGTATCAGTCTTTGTGTGTGTGTGCGTGTGTGTGAGAAAGAGAGCAATGTCAGATTCATTCACAGGGTTTTCAAGTGTGAATCCTCTCTGACCTGCAGTTCGGTCTTCCTCATCCCAGTCAGTCGTATTCCCAGTGGGGTGTTTGTGATGGTTGGTTTGCAGGAGATCAGAGCTCAGAGGAGAATCTGTGTGAACCGTAGACTTGAAGAGCTCAGCAGCTGCTAGACGCCGCGCCGGGACTCGTGTCAGTGATGTAATAGCTGGCAGAAAATGTAACGAGTCATAAATCGCTGCCACCAGACTTGATGTACTTCAGTCTCTTAAAGCCGAGGGGACCAGAGGAATGAAGTATGACAGACTGCATTAAGTAGATGCTGATGCCCGGTTTAAATGGATGTTTACCTATTTTTTTCTATTTGTCATTCCAATTTTTAGTTTTCAATTTCAACTTTTAATCAAGTTTTAGCTTCAGTTCAGTATATTTAGTTTCTTATTAGGTTTTTAGGGCTGTCAAAGATGATACATTACTAAAATGATTTTTAAAACATTTATTTAATGGAAAAAATTGTATTTTTACAATGTGTTTAACATATAGCCTACTTAAATTTGACAAATTACCTGTTTCATTTTATTCCTGTCAGTTTTTTTTATGAATTTACTTTTTTTTTTAACTTTTATTTTAGTTAGTAGGAATTTTATATATAAAATTATAATAACCTTTTATGTATAGAATTTTTATATATAGCCTAATTTATATAAATAATATAAATACAATTTGATATATATATATATATATATATATATATATATATATATAAATTATACATTCGTTTACTATTATATTACCGGTATAAAAATATATTCTATTAAAGCTGCAGTCCGTATCTTTTCCTCTTTGTCGCCATCTGTCTGTTCGAAATCTGTAACTGCAGTGATTCGCGGAATTATCATCTTTACGTGGGTTGTAAATCGGCATGAAACAGCGCGGATGAACACAGTGCTTTGAGGCGAGTGCTGCTGTCAGTCACCGCGCTGTGTGGATATTGTCATACAGAATCACAGATTCACTTTTTGAAAGTTTGACCAACATAAGAATTTTCATAAGAAAATGTCTTCTGAACAAGTAAGTAAAATCCATTTTTGTTCTGACCAACTAAGGGGGAAAAGCATTCGACATGATAAGCTTCGTTAGATTTAATCAACGCGATTTACAGCAACCGTGCAAATTATAGCCTACTTTGTTCTCAAATTGTTCATGTTAACAACATCACATCAGCATTGCGTGACTAATGTTAAATTTAATGTGTTTTATGATTACCTGTGTAGTTCAGAATTCATATTCTCCATAATAGCAAAACGAGAAAGGCACAACAAAGGAAACTCCATAACTGTGTGAATTAAGAAAACGTACTGTTACACGATTGAACTATTGAAATGTCTTACTTGTTCAGCAGAAAAAAGCCGTCTCTTCTTCCGTTTTGAACCCCTTCAAAACACGGAGTTCACGCACTTTTCAAAAGCCCCGCCGATGTTTAATCCTTGTGTTCGCATGAGACGGTTTCTTTCTCTTCCTCTAGCCACCTTAAATCCAAAGTACGAAGTCTTTTGGGTTTTATAACTGCTGAATCTCCAGTTGACACTGATGATTGTTGTTTGGATCTTTCTGGATGCCATAAGTTTAATTATGTAAAGTGCTGCGAGAAAAGCCTATACATCTAAACATCTCGTCACGCGCAGTATAGCCGGCTAGCCGAAACTCCTTCTTTATGTGTACGGGTGTGACGTCATGACGCAAAGACATGCTCGAATCTCCCGCGGAAACCCACCAGTACCACTGGAATTAAAATCATTATTACAAGCTAACCGTTTTAAATCTAGCTATGGCAAGCAGATAGTTTTGACCACTGGCAGAATAAGTTTTTTTTAATATAATTATTTTGGATTATTTTTAACTTAAAAAAGTTACGGACTGGAGCTTTAAGTATATATTAGCATATATACACATTTTTATATATATATGTAAATAAAATGTAGTTCATATGTGTGTGTATGTATATATTATATTTCTTTTCACGCGAGTGTTATTGATTAAACCATGTCAGCGCTGTACGAACACAAAAGCTGCAGGTTGAATGAATCTACATCACCAGTCAAAGGTTTGTACACACCTACTCATTCTTTATTAGTGGCGTTTGCCAAGTCAAACATTACTGTTACTATTGCTCACGCAAGTGTTAAATAATCACCCAACACTTAGTGTATGTGTGCAGCTCCTTTACTGAATGAGCAGACGCACAATTGTCACCTAGTGGATGGTAATACACTCTTATAGACTCACGAAGGCCAGGAGGAAACCACCAAGCCACCGCTTAGCATTAGCTTACATTAGTGAACACTTTTGCAACCACAAACAGTTATTATGGAGGGCGGGGCCTTTTCTAGTTAGTCTTTGTTTGTGCACACATTAATGTCACTGCTGTAGAGCCAGTTGACTGTAATTTTCAGGTTGGTAGACTGTCCTTTGAGAGAAAGTTCAGTCAAACAATAGTATCTCTTACTGATGAGCTGACATGTTTTGACTGGTAAATTCTCTCTGTTCGTCAGTGTCCAGGAGGAACGGCGTTCATCTGTCATACTCATCATGACCTCGATCTCGGAGTGGTACGCGGGGAAGAACGTGCTGATCACGGGGGCGACCGGCTTCATGGGAAAGGTGCTGGTGGAGAAGCTCCTGCGCTCGTGCCCCGAGGTCAAGGCCCTGTACATCCTCGTCAGGCCGAAGGCGGGTCAGTCCATGTCGGAGCGCGTCCAGGACATGATGAAGAGCAAGGTGAGGAGAACATTTGCTCACCATCCCTTTTAAGATAAGGGAAAATTTTTATTGAAATGTGTACTTTTTTATTGTTTTTCTTTGCTAGTTTGTAAGGCTGCACATTTAAAAAAAAAAAAAAAAAATTGTGATTATGTCAATATGACAATTTTTTTTTTTTTTTTTGCTTTGCTATTTTGTAGGGCTGGACAGTTTGTCCAAAGATTTTGTGATATTAATATGACTATAAACTAATAATGATAATAATACATATTTATATTAATAATTATATTATTATTATTATTATTACAATAATAATAATGTTTTGTTGTTTTCATTGATTATTATTATTTTTATTAATTAATAATATTAAAGGAAGAAATATTGCTATTGTTTATATATATATATATATTTAAATTTTTTCATTTTTTAAACATTATTCTATCAAGCTTTTGTTTTGATGGAAATCCACATGGATCCTTAAAGCTTCAGTTTTGTTGACAACAGCCGGTTTATCAGCGTTTCTCACTACAAGTTTAGGAATATGGTTGTCATCGCATGTTTCGTTCCCAAATGCATGTTATAAGCGACTCAAACTCAGGACAGATGCAGAGACGAGTGGAGCAACATTTACTGTGAACTGAGAAAATAAATTCACCAGATCATGAGCTGCTCGCGTGCAAAAGGAAAGTGCCGCTCTTCACTCTGAAACACGCAGCGCATATATTTATTTAACTAAAACAGCCTTTGTGCTTTGATAATCGCATTATTTTATTCCTATTAAACATACAGCCCTACTTTAAGACGTCGGGAACTGTATGTTCAGGTCACTTTAAGACTTTTGCTATACCTTTCTAAAACATCTCCCTTTTCAGGTTTAGCAAACAAAAGCCGATACCGTGCATTGTATGGTATCTTTCATGACCATCTTTCTGTCACAGGATATTTCTGCCTTTGTAAACGGATGTAATTTGACCGCGTCCTAACTTTCAGTCTGCAGGACGTGTTGATCCTTAAAAAGTTAGTTACGTGAAACCATGCAGAACCGGTGCAGGTGCACAAAGCTTTCCAGAGAAAACCCTGAATCCATCTGTGTTTACTCGTATGCGGTCGTCAGGGTTTACCTTTATTGTTTTCCTTGAACTTGATACTCTGAAGTCTCCCTAGGGCCACATTGTAAAACGCTCTTTGATTGTTGCCGTGGCAACCCCACCACAAACGCCACCCATATATGGTATCGTTCAGAAGTCAAACGGCATTTCCATACACACTGCGCCCCGAAACCACAATGAGGTGATGCATCGCCACCAGAGGTTTGCCTGATCTCCGGCCTCAAGCGTTTATGTTTGAGGAGTGGCACTATGTTTCTCACTGCATACGCTGCTCAGTACAGTTTGGAAAATGCAGGGATGGAATAAGTGTTTTCTTTATGTGATGAGTCATATACTGAATAATGGAGCAATTCTTTTTGTATGGCAGTTTGCTGTAGTTGCTCACATGGTTCAACTACGGAAGCCCTGAACCGCAAGAAAAAAAAAAACTAGAAAAAAAAAAAAAATGTAAAAAACAAACAAACTAGCATTTCGAGATTAAAGTCGAAACATTTCGAGATTAAAGTCGAAACATTACAATAATACAGTCTTCCATAGAAGTGTGTGCATTCATAACAGTGCGCGTCCACTGGCTCAGAGCGTGCGCGTGTGTGTGTGTGTTATCTGGGCTTTCAACAAAATTCTACACAGGTGCTAATCTACCAACAAGAATTACCCTGGCGTTGCCTATTATAGACGAGCGCACAGACTCCGCCGGAGTATCACGATGGTCCAAACTTTATGTGGCAGTGTTTTTGAGGTGTTTTCGTGCTCGTCTAGGCAACACTATCTGGGTCGAGAACACAGCAGTAACCGTTCTGTCTCCCTCTTCACCGCAAATACGTTCTGGATACATTTTATCATTCTGTATCCAATCATTTGGCCGGATCTCGTGATTTCCTCAGATTTAATAACCACTAATGGTGGTTGAGGAGAGGTTCTCTGATATGATTGTAAAGCGCTTTGAGTGTAGACATATGAAAGCGCTATATAAATGCCTCATTCATTCATTCATTCATTCATTCATTCATAAAGCTATCTCCATCCAGTCTGAGAAGTGTTTTCCGGGTTGGTTTTCCTATAGGCTAAAGTCTATTCCGGCGCAGTATATTTTATAACGTCCTATAATGGTAGCCTACTGCTGGTAGATTGGCACCTGTTGAATTTCCTTTTGTTGAAACAAAACACACACACACACACACACACACACAGTGTGAAACACTCGCTATGCACCATTATGAATGCCTGTGTGTGTGGCAATGTGAAACAATGGCAAGCACACACACAACTTCCACGGAAGACTGTATTCTCGTACTCTCGAAATGCTTCGACTTTAATCTCGAAATGCTTCGACTTTAATCTCGAAATGATAGTTGTTTTTTTTAACTGATTTTTTATTTTATTTTTACGTTGCGGTTTCGACTTTAATCTCGAAATATTTCGACTTTAATCTCGAAATGCTAGGTTTTTGTTTTTTTTTTACTGATTTTTTTTTTTTTTTTTTTACGTTGCGGTTCGGGGCTTCCGTATTTATCAGAACATTTCAGAAAAGATTAAGGCTTAAAATTTAGGATATTGTAATGGGAAATGTTTTTGGATATTGTATATATTGCGGGTTATTTATCGCAGAGATGGACTTTTTTTTTACTTGGTTCAGTTAGTATCCTACAGCAACATCATACCAACAATTTAGCAAACAAATATCGAAGATGTATATAGGTCACAGAGTTTGTGTGTATATATATATATATATTTTTGTATTTCAGTTAGTTTATTCTGTTTCAAGTAATGAAAACATTTTTTATGTTTTTAGTTTAAATTAACTATAATAACCCTTTATAGGCCTGTCACAATTACGAATTAAACATCTGTATCTGTATATCTTATTCAATCTAATAGCAATTATTTTAGATAACCACAATAATTGGGCAGTTTAAATTTCAATCACATTTTGCCATTCAAATTAAGGGTAATATATTATATTATATTATTATACACTAATTATAGAGATATTATACATTTTCACAGTATTAAAAATAGGCATTAAATATGGGCTTATTTTTATTATCATAATATATACGATTCCAAGTAAAAAATAGGCGTACATTGTAAACGATATGAACAAAATAGATTCAAATTAATTGTATGACAATTAATCATCAGTACAAAATTCATAGTCATGACAGGCTTAATGTTTTCTTGGTTGTGAATGCTGAACGTTTGAGTAGTTTGATCTCAGTACACACTCGCCTGCTGGGACTTGTGACGGCGCGATGTGAGATCTGAACCCCAGCCAGAATGAAGCTCAAATATTACCAGACGCAGATTAGCATTATGAGTCAGATGGACAGATTCTGTCAGCGCTGTGCAAACTCTGTGACCTCTGATATAAGCCCTCATTAGGTCCCACCGTGTGTGTGTGTGTGTGTACATGTAAAGAATGCTCAGAAGCTCAAACAGGCACATCTTGTGACGTTTGGGGGAAAGAATATTGAATGTGGGATGCTATTATTCATCAAACAAACATGTCTATTGTTTGGTCATTTAAACGGCCTGTCTCCAGATTCTGACCGACCAACAGATATATATTATATATACAGTATATATATACATATATATATGGGGTTGGACAATGAAACTGAAAAACTGGCCAATATAGTGTACACACACAGTGGATATAAAAAGTCTACACACCCCTGTTCTACACACAGCTGGTTTTTGTGATGTAAAAAAAAATAAACAAAGATAAATCATATCAAAACTTTTGAACCTTTAATGTGAAAACTACATGCAATGCTCCTGAAAACCAAAGTGACACATTTTCGAGACAAAAGACAAACATAAAAACATAGATAGACAAACAGACAGACAGGCGGATGGATTATAGTGGTACAAAATGATTATCATATTCATATACCATAGTATTTACAAGATACTTTAAAGAATGCAATAGAAATACCTATTGTCCAATTTTATTTTCTCAAAAAACAATATAGTATAGACATATTTAATATCTTTTTGGTACTTTTTGGTACTTAGATATTAGTATATTTTTTATCAGATTTTTTAAAATTAAATTATACTAGATGTTTGGGTATGTTTAATTATATTGGTTTCATTTAGTGTTTATGGTTTTTATGGTTTTTTATGGCAATTTATGGTAAAACACATGCTGTCTCACTAACTTAGTTTGCTTTGTTTTTGTTCCAGCTTTGGTTTTTAAAATGATACAGTCTGATAATATTATGATAAAATATAGTCACAACACTTTTCAGTGTTGTAGTCGAGGCCAGATGATTACATATCCAGTGCATCCTTGACAAGACAAAGACAAACATGAAAATATGTCAGACTCAAGTACAACACTGCTACTTATTAGGAGCTTGTAGTGTTCATTTACCACAGACAATCATTTTAATGTGTGTTGACGGCATTTTTAGTCTTATAATTAATTATTAATGAATTAGTCTCTACCTGTGATAAAGTGGCTCTCTTACATTAACTCTACAGGATCATGAGGCTCTTCTGCCATCAGATCGTCCTGTTCCTCACACACACACTTCTTTCTTTCTTTTCAGCTCATTCGGTCACTAACCTTCATCCTTCTTTTAGTCATTAGGCCGTTTCATTCCTAGTCTAATGTGATCCTGCTTTATATTTCTTCAAACACATAAGAAAGAGAGAATTAATGGACCCATTTGTGTGTGTGTAGTTTGAGGAGTATTCTCTCTCTCTCTCTCTCTCTCTCTCTCTCTCTCTCTCTCTCTCTCTCTCTCTCTCTCTCTCTCTCTCTCTCTCTCTCTCTCTCTCTCTCTCTCTCTCTCTCTCTCTCTCTCTCTCTCTCTCTCTCTCTCTCTCTCTCTCTCTCTCTCTCTCTCTCTCTCTCTCTCTCTCTCTCTCTCACACAATTGGATTATTTGTGCCAGAGGG